TCCTGCTGGGCATTCCACCCTGGGGAGGGCCTGATTGCTCAGACATTTGGAATATGTCAGAATATGAATATTCAGGAATATGAAATCAGAAAATAAAGGGGGACAGGAAGTGAAAGCGCCATGGGAGAATCTCCTTGTTCTCAAGGGGGCTCAGCATGGGGCTGGTGTGACTGCCACTGCCCCCAGGTTCCTGCCTCTGCTCCAACTGCTTCATCACATGTGAGGTGCCTGCAGCCTGGCCCATGCTGAGTTTATTTGCCCAGAAAGTCACCCACATGTGCAAATAGCAGAGGTCCTTTGGTGTGCCGAGGGGAAATAGTGCTGCTGCTTCAGGGTTTTCTGAAGGGCCTTTTTGAAATGGTCATGCAGAGGGTGTTGGTGGCAAAGAAGCAGCTTGCTGGGGCAGGGTTGCAGTGCCACAGCCTTGGAGTACTGCCTCCGTTTCTTTCACTTGATACAGTCTACCCCACCAGGCTTCCACATGGCAAGTATGTGAGTCCCCGATACCATATCCATCCTTCCCATGGGGTGTGTTAGTTCACAGCCTAGAAGTACCCTCAGTGAACCAGAAGGTCCTGTGAAAGCATCCCCTGGTCCTGCTGCCTCTTAAGGGGGTTTCCAGGTATGGGTCTCTTGCCAGGCTTCATCACATTGCTGCTGATCTTGTGCAGGTGACATCTAACAGCTTCCTCTACTATGAATGCCTGTGCTGGTCTCTTGGTAACATCACTGGTTTGAAAGGGCAGTGTCCCTGTTCAAAAGGGCAGAATTCCCTCTTTGTTAAGAAAGCAAAGGAATTGCTACTGACCTACATTTCCCTTGTCCCTCTACTGGAGATATTTGTCAGGTCTTCCCATGGTACTTAAGCATCTCTCAACTTTCTTGGACCCTATCCTCACAAGTCTTCCCTTTCTACAAGTGGGGAAACGGAGGCGCAGCATAGTGAGAAGTCACACTGGAAATGCACATCTGCATAGGAATTTGAATTCAAATGCCTTGAGCTCTATCCACTAAGCTATCCTTCTAGCTCAACCATGTGTTCTGTCTAGTTGAGTACCCTCTCTCTGAAAATGGCCCTCCCAGACACCTTGAGAGGACAAATGTGAACAACCCCTGCATTAGGCTCTGGGCTCACGTGCCCCAAGGAAAGTCTTCCTAACTCCTATCATCAGAGGAAAGCTTTTATGGCAATTGCAATCTGTCATATGATCAAGCCAGGCCACCTCTACCTGCCCCACCCAGCCGCAGCCCCAGCTCCAGCTCCAGCTCCAGCTCCAGCTCCAGCTCCAGGCCCAAGGTCCTTTGGAAAGTGAGAGCACATCTTCCTTGGGGAGGATGGAGACTCTAAGACAGCCTGACTCCTGCCTGGACTGACCTATCTGCAGCAGTGAAGATGAAAGGGGCTGTGTAGCAGGGAGAGGGGTGAGCTTCTGCCTGCTGAGAGAAAGGTCCCAGATTCAGCCATGTCCAAGGGCTTGACTACATGGCGACACTGACCGGAGCCACTCCTCCCGTAGCTGTGTTGTACTGGACTGTACATCAGTTCATCCTGGAGGAATGAGTGAACTGCCAAACCAAACCAGTTATCTGCCAATGGAAAATCAGGACAAATCAGTCCAGAATACCATTGCATTTGTTCTAATTGTTTTTCCACATAGCCAAGGGTTTGTTGGGGGAGGAAGCTGGCTGGTGGAGCCTCAGTCACCCTTATTCCTGTGCAGACACCCAGGGCAAGGGCTGGGCACTGCTGCCATCCCACTTGGCACTGGAATAACATTCCCCTGGGGGGAATAATTGTGCACTGCTGTGTCAGGAAATTTTCTGCTGAGGAGGAGGCGACCACCTGTTAGGTCTCCAACTTGTCACTGCTTGCCCTCCCTTACTCCATAGTGCCTTGCTGCTCCTTAAGAAAGGCCAGACCAGAAGAGAGTCTGGTGCTTTTGATCTGATAGGCAGGGCTGTCGGGTAGCTGTGGTGGTTCAGTGGCATTGTTAGAGCTGGTGGCCTCACAGCCCTCGTGATATTGTCCACACGTGGTATATGCTATTTGCCCTGCCCTTTGGTACTGGAATGTGGGCACAGGCATGCGGATTCTTCCTTTGGGGAAGGGGGGGTTGAAAGCAGACCTGAAGCACTAGTCACTGTTTCTTGAGAGCTGGGACCCCTTTAGCTGTGACATGGTAGGAAAAGTCATAGTTGTAGAGCACCAAGCACAGTGGGTCCTGATTCATGCCTGGGACTCCTAGGTTTAGTCCCATTATTTACAGGGATTAATGATTGCACCCTACTAGATGAACTCATATGAAAAGAAGAGCCAGTAACACTTTCAAGGTGAGTATCTGCAGGCCTGCCAGGCCACATGCACCTAGGTAGCAAAGCACGGCCTCCTTGATCGTTTGGGGTCGGATGTGCAGTCCTTTGACTGGCCACAAGAGGGAGCTGTGCTCACTTGTACTCTGGTCTGTTGTATAACCAATCTGCCCATACCTGTTTCCCCTGCTACCCCTTCCCTTGTCCCTCCATTGAAGGTACTTGTCTGGCCTCCATCATCCCATTTCCTGAGCACTTTTCCTCACAGTCCTCCTGGGTGGGCAGGGCTATTTCCCTCATTTTGCACAAGGAAGGCACAGAGAAACTAAGCAACTTCCCTAAGTTCGCACAGGCCATCTGTAGCAGAACAGGAAATTTACATATTTCTCATGTTCCAGGCCAGTGCCCAAACCCACGGATGATCCTCCCTCTCTTCTGACAAAACCTCTCCTCCAAGACACCCATGAGCACGATATCCAAGAGGAAGCAAATAGAACTGCCTGGGTGTGGACAAGTAAGTGCATTGCTATGAGATCTCACCTTTCTTCCATGCTGTCTCCTCCCCCAGCCCCCCACACATACCCAGTTGTTCTGTCCTCCCTGTGAATGCTTGTTGAATTCAGTGTGGAAGTGTTGCAGTGGGGGGGAGGGGGGGAGGCATCTGTGTATTGGCCGGCTCTTGGCCTTAGGCTGTTGAATAATTGTGTCATCCATTGTTACACCTGATGCTGTGATTGATCAAAACAATCAACACAGGATGGCTATGGCTTTGCTAATGGTACCCACTCTTTGCCTTGTCCATTGAGACTGTAAACTCGTTGGGACAGGGACTGCTTTTTGCCACATGTATGGACAGCATCTAGCAGACCAGGCACTTGGTCCTGGCCTCAGCCACAAACTCCCCCTAATACACAGAGTAAAAAATTGCATTGATATTGCTAACTTGTGTCCACATCCTCATTTTTTTTCACTTCTCCACATGGGCTGTTCTTATGAAGTAAAATCTTCCTTGTTCTCATAGGAAGATCTATGCCTGGTTACTTTCCTCTGCAATGCATTGAGCTGATCTCCCTGGCTTGAAGTGGTAGAAGCATGGAGCACCTTCCTTCTGAAAACCAAGCTCTTTGAAGGTATCTCGCACTGGGGTCCTAACATCACTAGTTCACTTCTGAAAGAGCCTTTGCTCCTTTGCCTTTCTCTCCCGTACCCTATGCAGTCACACACAGGCCTAGGATTGGGGTACAGGGAAAACCAAGCCCACAGGCTTCTCTGCTCTGTAAAGGATACACCAACTGTCCCCCACTGATCTGTGTTCACTAAATGCTCCTCTGACTGGAGGGTGTTGGGAGCTCTCACAGCAGCTCTGAGCAGGGTAGGTAGCCTTGTGTTTGCTCCTTTCACTGTCAGGCTGGGGAAGGGCTTGTGGGATAAGGGGAGAGAATAACTAGGCTAAGGGAGTGGAGCAGGAGCTACGTGGGTCAGGTTCTATTTGCTGCTTTAAGACTTGAGGGACCTGGAACAAGCTGCCTGCTTTCAATACTTCCTCTACCCTCATGCATTAATGAATAACTTCTGCTTAAGTCATCAGCTAAAAATAAAGTGCCTGTAAGCTGGAGAAGGAAGTTTCTCAGGAACCAATGGCTGCTGGCACTTTGCAGGGGGCAGCTGCCTTGTGATCTGGGGCAGGTCCAGCTCTTAGCAACACAGATGTAAATCTAACCTCAACCATGCCCCTGGAGTGAGAGCAGAGTCTGTATTGCATACCCCTGCCAGCCCTGCCCCCATCACATCCTCTGTGCCAGTCAAGCCCAATGGTCCCTTTCCCCATATGTACTCACTCAGCTCCAGGCCCAGTGTTTTCCTGACACCTGCTCTCAGCTTCTGGTGGGATCTCCCTACCTCACCCCGAGCTTTCATCTAAGCTGAGAATCCAGACTGAGAATGGTGGAGCGGGGAATGTTGCTACTATGCCCTGCAAGAACTCGTCTCCTTGTTCCTCAGCTGGGGCTTATCCCCGGGCCAGTGTTGATGTCAGTTCCCAGGTCTAATACCTGTGGGAATGAGTTTGTTTCCTGTTGGCTACATGTTCAGCTCCTGGGTTTTGTCCAGCAGGCCATGGAGTTGGTAGCTTGGCCAGACTTCTGTTCTATGACACTCATTTTAAAGTTAAAGAACATGGATAAAATGCAACTGATTCTCCTTGGATAGAGACTGAGGAGATTCACAGACCTCAAGCCGGCCCTCTCCATGGAAGAGAAATTCTCCTTTAATTCCCATTCATTTCTTACACAGGCATGGAAGGTTATGGGAAATTGGTTTCAATAAGGACTTTGATAGAGCCTGCTTAGGATACCCCTTCTGATACTGACATCATTAACCCCTCCCCCCCTTCCTTATTGAATATACTGGACCCCTTCTGATGTAGTCCTCAAGCAAGCCATTGACCTGGAGAAGGATTTGTGTCAGTGAATTGAGAAACGGAATGAATTCAGGGAAGTCTTTGTCCTCTATTATACAGGAAGTCAGACTAGACAATCACATTTTTCCCTCCTGCCTTTGAAACTCTGATACTAAGAATAGAATTTGGGATTTCATAGATTTTTAGGGTCAGAAGGGACCTCAGTAGATCATCGAATCCAACCCCCTACCCTGGGAAGGAAAGAGCACTGGGGTCAGATGACCCCAGCTAGGTGCTTGTCCAGTCTCCCCTTAAAGACCCCCAAGGTAGGAGAGAGCACCACCTCCCTTGGAAACCTATTCCAGATTTTGGCAACTCTCACCGTAAGGAAATTTTTCCTAATGTCTAATTTAAATCTGCTCTCCACCAGTTTATGGCCATTGTTCCTAGTAACCCCAAGGGGTGCCCTGATAAACAGAGTATCCCCTTTTCCTTGCTGCCCCCACCCGATGAATTTGTAGATGGCCACAAGATCCCTCTCGGCCTTCTTTTGCAGAGGCTGAAGAGCTTCAGGTCCCTCAATCTCTCCTTCTAGGACCTTACCTGCAGGCCCCTAACCGTACAAATGGCCCTCCTCTGGACCTTCTCGAAGTTAGCCACATCCCTCTCGAAGTGCGGCACCCAGAACTGGACACAGTACTCCGGCTGCGGTTTTACCGATGCCGCATAGAGGGGAAGTATCACCTCCTTAGACCGGTTTGTGATGCACCTTCTAAAGCATGAAAGAGTGCGGATGGCTTTACTTACCATTTTGTTACATTGACAACTCATGTTCATTTTGGAGTCAACTATGACTCTGAGATCACTTTCTGCTGCTGTGATGTTTAGAAAGTCACCTCCCAGTCTGTAGGTGTGTTGGTGATTCTTGCTCCCTAGATGCATCACTTTGCACTTATCTGTGTTAAACTGCATCCTATGCTGTTCTGCCCACTGTCCAGTGGTGACAGGTAGGGGGTGTACGAGCATGCACGTGCACCCCTTGAGAGCGGACCCCCTGACTGCAGCAGGAGAAACCAGGAGAAACAGTCCCACTGCGGCCGATCCCGCTAACCCAGAAGTGCCAGAGACGTGCCGATGCCAGTTGTGGGTCAGCGGGATCAGCCATGGCCTCCCTCCTCCTGGCTGGTCAGCAGGATCAGCTGTGTGGGGACCTCCCCCCGTCGCTGACTGTCCACTGGGGTGGTAAGTGCTCCCCCACTCCCCAACTCAGGAGGCACCAGCCGCCCATGCCACTTTCCCAATCTGTCCAAATCCTCCTGAATCCGCTCCCTGCCCTCATCCAAGTCACTGATGAAGATGCCTTGGGTCAGAGCAGTCTGCAAAAGAATATAGTCATAAGCTATCGCTGGTGGAGAGAATGGCAGGAAGAGGTTGGATTTAAGAGAATTCCCACCACATCCCTGAAAGGAGAGTGCTGGCAGGATAATATTTAACCAAAATGACTTAATTGGGATTCTTGCAAGCACCCAGCCAACTCAAGTTCCTTCTGCTTAGTTTATTGCACTTTAAGGATCTTGAGTTCCTACAAAGTCTACAGCCTCCTTCCTTCCTTCCTGTCTTGCTCCCTTTTCCAGAGTCATGAGACAGTTGTGACGTGAGAGATTAAGAAACTACACACAGTCAGTGCAGTTACACGGGCTATTTTTAACTCAACTTGGCTTTGAAAATTCCTCTCCCCATCCATCTTTCAGTTTTATCTTGTTTCAGCTGATGTAACTGAGAGGTTCTGACCCTGATGAGCAGCCCACATTTCCCCCTCTTGGGTTTCCATGATCAAAATCTTTCTCTTTGCACCTGGTTCCCACCCGTGATTGCTTGCATTTTCTTTTAAGTGGTGACTAAGAGAGGAAAGCCATCTCTGTGAAGTACCTGGGGCATCCTCCAGTACAGTACATGTACCTACAGTACAGTACATGTACCTACAGTACATGTACCTGGGGCATCCTCCACACAACACAATATCCTGTGGGGCTTTCATCCTTCCTTTGGGTCTCTTCTTTTGCCATCTGGAGATTGTTGCACCCATGATCCATCTGACTAAGTAGGTTGTTGCCTTTGACATCTCAAGCCTCTCTGAACTGGTTAGTGTCCAAGGTGCCACCTTGCCCTACCTTTTAGGGTAGGAGAGATTTCTCCTGGAACCAACCCCATCCACGTCACCAATGTTTTTCTTGCATTCTTTTAAAAAAGTATAGCATGGCCAACATTGACTGCAAATACTAGAATTAAGGAGAGCACAATCCCTTCCCTAACAACATTTAACTCACTCATAGGGGATGCTCTAGTATTGTAGCTGGAACATGTCAGGATCCAACTCTGGACCTTCTCTCCTAATCCATGCCCTTAACTGTCTGAGTTGAAAGAGAAGCTCCAACACCCACATGCTGGTAGTAGGACATGTCTTTTTCTTAAAGGCCTTCCACAATTACAAGGGGGCATAATACCACATGGAAGAGAGCTAAAGAATATCCCAGCCTGATAGTAGGCATCTATCTGTCTCCTGAGACAACAGAATTATGCTGAGTGAGACATCAGCTTGCTGCATGTAATCCTCACTTGAAAGATAAAGCAAAGCTCAAGTGACCTCTCCGGAGTGCAGAAGCCTGGGCAGTGTGCATGGAGATGCTGAGCTGCCCACACACCAGTGTTTCACACTCAGCCTTGCTGGTTTAATCCAAAAGAAAGGGAGGTGCCAGTATGTTTGGAACCAGTTTAGTTGCACAAGTGACTGGAACAAAGGAGATCATTCATTTGTCCATCTGTCAGAGCTCCACTCCTAGACTGTATGCTGACCAAAGTTAAAGTCTGATGGAGACCACTGAAAACCCACCAAGGTGAATGGGGTAGTAGAGATGTGTAAAGACTGAAGAAAGACTACTTAGAGTGATAGCCAGCAACAATGGGGCCTAAAGACCCTTGGAGAATGTTTAGCAGAAATACAGGCAAATAGTGGGAATCAATTAAAGTGATTCAACGCTGAAAAGCTAGGAAGCATGGGCACAGTAATGAATTATCCATAGAGCTTGTGAAGTATTTGGAAGTATAATCAATAAACATAGATTAATAGATTGTAAGGCTGGAAGGGACCTCAGAAGATCATCGGGTCCAGCCCCCAAATCTCTGGGAATGTATCTACTGAGAACTCTCCTTATACCTGTGAACCATGAAAATGGGACTCCTGTTTGGGAATATTACTGTTTTACAGATCCGCTCATGTCTGAAATGAAAAATAAATGTACCACTTTTTTAATCCATTATGCACAGAAAATGGGCTATGGGCTGCATTTGAGGTGTGAGTATTTTTAGCTGGTGGTCCATGGATCATCAGTGACCAGCAGAGTGCCGTCTGGTGGTGAAGGAATTGCAGTTTTTGAGAGCTACACAATGGTGGTTTCAGAAGTTGGTAGAGGAGCTGGTTCTTAAGATCTTTCTCCTGAGTGACTCATAGGGTGGATAGGTTGGAAACATGTTGTAACAGCAATAGAGTTGTCATCCATACAAGGTTACATCACTGCTCCAGCTAGTCTAGGATACTTCCCATCTATAGCAAAGGAGAAATTGTCCATCCTGACTCCCACAAATTGTATGCCCCAAAACATGCAGGTTCTTACCTCTCTACAACATCCTAACTTCGTTGAGCTGTTTGTTCTAATATCCTGCAGCAGTGAGTCC